AGCCAAATAATTAGTTCCTTCAAAGTAGTATGTGATTTATTCAAAGATTTCTAAATATATTCCTTATGTATTCTTAAAGGAGATGGTAAAATAAAATATTCTTTTCTTTGCCCTGACAATAGCCCTGTATATCTCTCAAACAATATTTGCAAATAGGTAAACTAGTTGGACCAAAGCATTGGCTATCAGAGACACAGATTCACAAATGCATTCAAATAATAAATAGGTGCATATGGAGAAGTCTGACAGTTTAGTGGAATTGCTTTCAAGTAATTTGACACATTTATACTTTCAAACATTTACCAGCCAGTAATCCTCATTAGAAATAGGATTGGAATATTGGGGTCACCAGCTCAAATCCATTTTTCTGAGACCTGAATAATAACCAAAAGTAAGAGCTAAAGGAAGTAAAAATAAACCTATCCCAAACATCAGAATTTTCAAAGTAAGCTCTTTCTCATTCCCCTTGTTTTTTTCCTTTTTTGTCCCCCCTCTCACCCTGTCCTTTTCTTTTTCTTTTTACTCTACCCCCCATTCTGTTCTTTTTAGTGTTCTGAATTCATTAGATAGCATAGTGTAAATCAATAGTAAACGCTAACCGCCTACTCTGTACTCAGTTACGCAACATCGCATAACCGGTACACAGAGACAAAAAGGGAAAAAGCACACACAGCCTTTACATTCACGAGCTCTTGCATAATTTCACTTTTCCACAGCCAAAAAGAAAAAAAAAAGGAAATAACAGATGGGGAAACTTACAGTTTTTTTCCCTTTTCTCAGACTGTTTAGAAGGGAGTTAGTTAACATCTAGGGCCATTTCTAGTTGCCCTAGGCTGCAGCAAAACATCCCATAATTGTCAGTGCCTTAACTGGCTTTAAAACAAGACTTTTTGACCCTCTGTGATGTGATGGATTTTCCAGGTAATATAAGACTGAAATAATTTTGAGGTGTTTTCATTTATTTTATGAAAAATAAAAAATATGCTAAGCATGAAATTAATTTTAAAACAGAGGATAAGAAAGATTGTGTGTGTGTGTGTGTGTGTGTGTGAGAGAGAGAGAGAGAGAGAGAGAGAGAGACAGAGAGAGGGAGGGAGAGAGAGAGAGGGAGAGTGCATGAGTTTTCACTTGAAATGTATCCTGATGTAATATTTATGTAAAAAGGCAGCTATATAAACTCGTCTTTCTCTTGCATTTTTACTTTCTCTGTATATAGCTCTATTTTTGTTTTTTTCTCATGACAAAGTACATTCAAACCCAAAAGCCTTAATGAAAGAGAAAACATTTAGATGCTACAACAGGGACCCTTAATTCAAACTCCCTATAGAATTCCTCCCTTAAACGACAGTTCTATTTAAGAACCTGTGGTTTCTGGAATTCTCATTTAGAACTTTCTGTCACTCTATTCCCTGGAACACCTTTAGATTCTTCATACTGACTTTCTTTAAATCTTAAATGTATAATAAAAGTGTTCTCTTTCTCTCTCTCTCTCTCTCTCTCTCTCTCTCTCTCTCTCTGTTTCTTTCTCTCTCTCTCTCTCTAACTTTTCACCCCCTTCTCACAACCTCCACTTTTTTTTTTTTTCACTGAAGTAACTCCCTTCCAAGCTTAAATGGGAACACTGTGAGATTTGTGTGTGATTTATCAGTCTTTCTTCCCTATTATAATATTTTGTTTCACTTAACTGAATAGTGTCCTCTGGGAACCAGGCATTTGTCTGATAAAGAAGGTTGGAGAAATTTTTGGTTTAGTTTTGTTTTTCCTTTCTATTATCTTTTGACTGCTTATAAAATGGATATAAAATGATACAGAACCCAGTACTAGGCACTGGTAGAGATCTATTAGAAGGAATTGTGTGTAATAGTGATTTCAATTATTTTTAATGCAATCATAGAAAGTAGAAGGTGGGTGGAAAAGAGGATAAATATAATCATTCATGTATGAGTAGGAACTATTGAGGTACTTCCTCTCCTTGTATTTGGGATCATCTTCACTTTTTAAAATCGTACTTTACTTCTGGACATTAAAGCTGTGAGAAATTAATTTAATTTTTCTGAAGGTGTGAAGTGTTTTTCCTTTATTGTTTTAAAGTTCTAGACTATCTCATAATTTTTAAAAACTTTTTCTGATGTGTTAGCTATAAAGCCAGAATAGTTTTATCTGGTATTATGAGTTTCATTGCCTCAATGTAGTGTGGTGGCTCTGGCTTCCAACAACTGACTATTCAAGATCATTGGGATTATCATGTCTCTGATTTATGATGATATAGAGACATATTTTGTCATCTTAATATGAATAATAACTAAACTAGTGTATGCTTTAAATTTTTTATTAATTTATTTCCTTTCAACCTTTTTTAACAGAATACATAACTCAGAGATTTGTTTGTGGAAAAATAATGAAATGAATATTGGTCAGAACAGTCTAGTGTTTAACCAGGAAATCATATTCATACATGTATTTTTGTAAATGTCCCTCTACATGTAAATAGATATAGCTTAATTTGGATTTCAATAAGTTATTTTTATGTTGTCACCTGATTATCAAAAAAAATTCAGCCTCATTTTTCATTTCTGTTGGCATAGTGGTGCTTTCTAATGTTGCAACAAAACCTTGGACACTGGCTTATATTCTCAAGCAGAATCACTTCAGTTGTACCTGGCACATACATAGTACCTTAATAAATATGTTTGTGTTTTAGAAAAATGTAAAATTCATTCTCTGTTATGTAATTTTACCATGATTAATAATCTGTAAATAGGGTCTTATATTTTTGTGTGTAATTCTACATACAAAATTATTTCTACTTAGGAAATTATTCTAAGTACCCTAATTTTCAAATGGGTTGCCTAGATTTGAAACAAACAAACAAAACAAACCTAGATTTCTAAAGAACAAAGGGATCCACATTTTTGTGGTTATCAAAAACAGTTGGAGGCATCTGAATATTAAAGATGAGGAGGAAATATCTGAAGTTATCCCCTGTTTCCCTTTGTCAGAATATCTTCCATTTCCATCTTAATTGTTTTTCAGACTCTGATCCTGCAGACAAGGCAGGATTGACCTTTCAGAATCCAATGTATGGCAATAGCATCTACTCAGCCCTAATTTTTTTTTTTGGGGGGGGGAGGCAGTTAACTTTATTTATTCATTCATTCATTCATTCATTCATTCATTCATTCATTCATTCATTCTAATCAATTATACATGACAGCAGAATGCCCTTCAATTCATTGTACACAAATTCAGCCCTCATTCTGTTGTAACCACAATCCTGGGAACATATAGGTTACTTGTTCCTCCCAAAGCATTCAAAAGCTAGGGAGAGCTTTAAACACTAATTTTTCTTAAGTCCTTCAAAACTCTTCAAACCTCCTTTACCTCCTCCTTGCTTTTGGCAGTGTGATAGATGTTTCCTAATGTTTCAACAAGAACCTCAGTTACTGACTTCCCTTCTCAAGCAGGATCATTTCAGTTGTGCCTGACACATAGTAGCAGCTTCATAAATATTTTCTGTTTTGGTGAGCTGATGAGGGACCTGCTGTGGCTGTTCCCTCGGAGCTTATAGCAGGTAAGCAGTAAGCCCTGCGAGTAATAAAAGGGTAAGTGAAAATTGGATATGGAGGTCTTCAGATCCTAGAAGTGGACATGTTATACCATTTAATGATTAAGTCCTTATCTCATCTTTATCTTCATAAAAGTAGTGAGTTTCTGACTGCAATTTTCCATCTTTCATAAAGGTCCTTTTTAGCGGTCAGTGCTACATAGACTACTGGCTCATTTAAAATAATAATTTTTGGCAAGCTATCTTGGTTATCCTTATTAAATTTCATATGCAAATACGTTAGATACTTAAGATTCTGGCTCTCAAATATATTCCTCTTGCACTCTGCCACAGGGTCCTTTGAATCTTGGCTCTTATCATTTCCTCTGAACAATTATTTTTGGACTTCTTTTATTTACATAGGTCCTAGGATGATATCTATACAGAAATTTTATGTGGATTGATTCTTTTACATAGTATTTCATTACTTTTAGCTACAGAAATTCCTGATCTTTCTAAATCCGTTTTGTCATCTTGTTATTCATTTTCAAGGCTTCCATTGTGGTGGTAGTATAGGAAGATAGGGGCATCGCTTGGTAAAACCACCTGTGGCTCATAATTTTAAAGGCATTGAAAAGCAAAGCCTGGGGAATTATTAACAGGCTGCAGCTTGTTAGCCAAGCAATTTTTAAAATGCAGATTATATAATATTGGAGGACTTTGTTGCTCCACAGTAGAAGCTTTTTAAATGTTAATTTGGAGTTTGTTTTGTTGTTCTGTGACTTAGCATAAAAGGTTTTAGTTTTAAAAGGTTTCAGTTCACTCGTTCCATTTGTCTTACCAAACTCAGAATACAATACTATACATTTATTTATACTCATGAAGAAGGATAAGGCCAGTAACTCACAGCTCATGAAACCAGGGGTAAATAACCCATAGCTTGTTCTCCCACCATTGCCACAATATTTATATCCAGAACACAGTAGCAAACAACCAAAAACAAGGAAAAACCAGTTTGTTTTTATTTATAAAATGTTTAATCAAAAGTACAGTAAAGTTCAAATGGAGCTGCAAATCCTAGTGGTTCACAATGGTTTAATTTATTTTTTTAACAGACCATGGATAATTAACCATAAAACATAACTTTCTCAACACAAGTTACAGTGAATTGCAGAAATGGGCAGCAAGTCATTCATAACTGGTTGCAACTGGTTAGAGACCTTCAGTTAAACATGCAGACGGTTACAAAAGCTACTTTTTTAGTACACAATTCTATTTTCACTTTCAAACAGAAACATCTTTTACTTTCTATAAAATATCACTGGGTCAGTGTCCCAAATCAAGTAACAAATGGATTATTTTCTATGACTGCCATGTTGTTATGCATTTATTAAAATTTATTAAAATGTATTACTTTTATTTTTAAATTGTGTTTTTTTTTTTCTTTTCATTTCAGAATCTTTTATCATCACTAACTGGATATTCCTCACAACACTGCTGGCTGGTAAGTAATGCTCATTATCTTTAGAAGGTAGTCCAAAATATTGAGGTGAAAAGAAAAATATATTTCTACCAACTTCAGAAAAAAAATGAAACCTAATGGCTGTGGTGCATCTACCGCCTTAAGTACTAAATTTGAACAGAACACCTTTTGGCATTATTAACAGGTAGAATTTTTATATCCTGCTGTATTTTGAAATACGATTATTTAGAAAGATAAGAAACCTGATCCCCAAAACCATTGTCAAAGATACTGGCAAAAATTTTTGAATGACTTTGCTACACAGGGCTGGAAGTAGCCAAAGGACTTGTTTAAAGTCTCTCCGGAGAGATATTTTTCAAAGGAGACTCCTATAGGCAGGAAGGGTGAGAGGGTGAATATGGGAACTGATCTTTATGTGGAACATTGAATGTTTTGGCATTAAGCAAACACACACAAACCCCTCCGAAGTGTGATTCTTTAAACTTTTCATTAATATTCTATAATATTCTGAAAATTTGAAATGCATTTGCTTCATTTGGCCCAATCTCAAAAGCAGATATGATTATTCTTACATATGCCCACAAACAGAAGGAAAGAATACCCTTAGGGACATGAATAAGACCCCCCCACACACACCACCAATCTTTACTAATTAAGGAAGAGGACCAAGATCAGAGCTGCAAGTAAGCATCACTTTTAGGTTTTGTCTTTCTGTCTTTTAGTGAGAATTTGTAAAATTTCAAAAAGGTTGGCATTGTGACTTCCTAGAATTCTTGATATTTCAGTGGCTAGGAGGAAAGTGCTGGTCAAAACTGAGGGTATATTGGTAAATCATCCTCAAGTTAGATATAGCCTGAAGATCTAAGTTTGTGAGAGCTTGGCCTGCATTGAAATGCACTGGCAAATATTCTGGAGTGGGAGAAGGAGGGAAGGAGTGACTTGCCTGGCATCTGACTATGCTGTGCCTGGCTCCAACCAGGGCTATTTAGTCATGAACATCATATTCATCCAAACCTTTAAATGTTACACTCTTGACTTCATTTTATATGAATGTGCATAAAATGAGGAAAATAATCTCTTAGGGTAATAAAGATAGCTTTGTAATAAGGACTTTCCATATCCATTGCACATGATCCATAGTTGYCACTGTGTTGCTGTTTATAATTTTGTTGCTCATCTCTCTCTGACTCTCTGAGCATATCCATCTCGCCACTGAAGGCCACAAGGCTTCAGGATTTTAACTCCCCCTCTCTCCCCACTCCCATGCTTTACTTGTTACACTGCCCAGAAAGAAACTCCTATCAGTGGGAGCCTCAGAAACTCAAGGGACAGACTTATTTTGGTAACTTTAATTTGTAACTCCCTTTGCATTCATCACAAAAAGATCTCATCACAAAAGGGCCTGAATTTCCCCCTCTTGCTGGTTTGCAAAGAAGCCATTTCCTCTCCTATTTCTTCCAAGGCACAGAAAGCTCCTTATGTTTCTATGATCAGATAAAATCTGTATCGATGTTTCTTTTCTTCTGGGTGTATTTCACTTCAAGGTATGAAGATTTAAGCTATTAGGGCAAGGCTGTGTGTTTGCAGTTTCTCTGTTTTAGTAAACAAAAACTTCCTTGGGAAAGGAGAGCACATATTTTCCACATCTTTTTTCATTTTCAAATGATACATGCTCATTAAAAATAATTTGGAAAAATACATAGGAATAAAATGAAGAAAAATTAAAGTAATGATTTCTATAATTTAAATTCAGTCATCAAAAATTATTTTATTTTTTACTCTCTTTTTCCCTGAGGATATATATATATTTTAAACATGCCATAATCATACTTTCTATATAAATTTTGTATTCATTTCAAAATCTAACCTAAGAATTTTATAGTAATTACATAGACCTTATAGAAATTTTTACTTTTCCTGAAGAGGAGTAGCTCATTTAACCTAAATATCCAATAAGAGTGTTATTATTGCTATTTACTTTTTATGTCCCCAAAATTAATCTTAATGAATGAGTCCATAAATAATGAATAAATAAATGAAAGCTCAAATCAGTAAATACACTTATGTTTATTTTATGAAAATTTTCAAATACATGAATGTAAACAGAGTACTGTAAGTAACTCCTGTACAGTGACTGACTCAGGACCTATCAGTTTCCTGCTATACCACAAAGTTATTTTGAAGCAACTCCAGACATCATGGCATTTAATTCATTACTATTTCAGGCTCATCAGGACATATTTACATGTTAATGTTCAAACATTCAGATAAATAGTTTTAATCATTGTATACAGCAGTATTTTTCCTTCTTATTTACATATTTTCTAATGTGTAACGGTTGATTATAAAATCTCATTTGTGTGTTTCATAATATTCTTAGGCACATCTGTAAGCCAATAGGCAGTTTGGTTGACTAGAGAGACATTTCACAGACTTGACTAGGTTTCTTGGGGGAAAAAACTGTCTTTCTTTTGGTACTTCTTTAACTTGACTCAAATTTAAGATGAGAATTATCATGCCAAACCTGTGTGGCCTTAATTATACTCGTTAGTAGACATATGCATGTATGTGTACAATTCTTTGTCTGAGATAAAAGGAAAATATAGTCTTCTGACTATTGGGGAGTCTTCTGATTACTACAGTCTTCCTGCAGCCAAACCATACTAAATATAACAAACATACTTAAATCAAATGTACTGCGTACTCAAAAATTTATAGTTTTTAAATTTATTGATAGAAATGAAAAGTATGTATTGGGTACATGGAACTTTTAGGAAGTCTGTAAAGAGGGGAATTATATAATAATAGTCTGAGTTGTATTCTTTAAAAAACACTATGTTTGAGGGGAAGGAGAAAGTGCATGGTAGAACAATGCCTGAGTATATCACGCTAGTGTGTTCTTATAATGTTTTAGAGGACCCTATATATAGCCAGCTTGCCATGGCTAAACCAGGTCTTTCACACAAAGAACTCCACAGATGAGGAATTATCTGTTCAAATGAGGCTCTTTGTAGAAAACCTTTCTGCAGAGTTTGGTCTTGTCTCACTGTCTTTGAATTGTAGGTCAGTGACTATTCAGTAGCAATGTGTTGTCCAACAGGTGTATTACACTCATCAGAAATTCAGAATGTGAGTAACTAAGTAACATACTGCCTTGGTATAAACTGAATTTATGTGTTACTCTGGTCTATTTAATCTTAGCAGCACATTTTCCATTGGCCTCGAAAGTTGAGTAGCTAGAATATTGATGTGTCTAACCCTTGGGGAAGTAAAAAAAGAGCTTCTCCACCACACTAAATCTCTAGAAAAATATGACGGTTTACAGTATGGACACATATAAAATATTTTCAGCAAAAGCTGGTAGAGAAAAGCACAAGGAAAAAAAAAGAAAGTAATAACACAAGCAATAAACTATCCCAAGCAAACAGAGAGCATCTGTAAAATTTGGTAGACTGAATGATATAAACAATACAAACATTTTTTTTCTTTTCAGTTTTTATTCCCCCTTACTCTTCTAATCATTTTTGTCTATCCTTTACCCTGATTCAGCATCACCATCATTAAAATATCAGCAAAAGGTCAGAAATGTATGAATGCTTGGCATTCAGGAAGGTATCACAAGGAAAGATAGGTAGGAGCTAATATTTTACTATTTTAAAGCTACCAAGGTATTTTACTCCAAATGTCTATATGTAAAACAACTAAGCTTTTTATCTGTAAGATTAATATTATCAACAGAATGGCTAAAATAAAGGTATAATGATCCTTTACCTCTTCATGCATTCATTTCTTATATGTGGTGTTGGATTGTGTGCCTTGTGTTATTAAACCTAGACTATTAACTGCCTTTTAAAGAAAATAGTTTGCTGTTCTGTTTAAAATAAATGATTCTTTCTACCTGTGCATTACACACTATATCCAAGTGAAACATCAAAACCTTATCATGATAGTAGCAATAATAATAATAATAATAATAATAATAATAATAATTGATAGTATTTTCTTCTAGGTGTGTGTGAAAAACATCCATTTCCTTGGAGTTGGCCTATTTGGGATCCAGTATTTTTTCAATTGATATTACATTTGTGACTTTATGTATCCTCAAACTGTTAAAAAAAACATTTCTTAGAATAAACTAGTAATCCACACCCACTACCTCCTCTTCCTCAGTAAGTTCAGAACAATAGTTGGATGATTCTATTTATTTAGAGCAGGGAATCCTTTGTAAGTACCCTCACCAAGTCAGAATTTTCATTTTAGATTTAAAGAATCTGATATTCACAAAATTAAGAAATAATAATAATAATAAAAAAGCTTCTTCAGTCATCAGGTCTCTGTTCCATGGAGCTAGGATGTTTTCTGGTTAAATTGTATTGCACATGTAACACATCATCATGCTCTATTACTACTCGGATAAGAATCATGACATTTCCTCACTGAGGTAACTGCAGTGACTCCACTTCCCTTGCAGTGGTGAAGGAGAAATGAAAATCCCAATCAAGGCAGATATTAAAGGAAATGATTTTGTAGCCAGCTCATCCCTTACATGGTAGAATACTGAGGAGAAATGTTCATATTTTCCTCTTTAACTAGAGTCTATAGTGTGTAGGATATAATTTGAAGATGGTGTTTTCTTTGGGCATTCTTTCATAGGAGTACTACATCCATTGAGGCCTGGGTCTGTGTTCTGTCTTCCACCATTAAAACATTTCTGAACATGCTGCTGATGTAGACCTTTTGGTCAAAAGTAATTTGCTTTCTTCATAGCTGATGGCCACCCTGTGAATCAACTTAATATACTTGTGGTATGGGGATCTGTAACCTCTGAATACTAAGTTCAAAGACTCTAGTAATTAATTATTTAAAGACATTTTAGCCCTTAACTATTTCTTTCTTTGTCCACAAACAAGTTGATTGGTTAATCATGCCTTTGTTTATTTTTATTGTTTTTTGCTGTACACATTGCACATAAAACAGTTTCAAAAGAGGAAAGGCTGTTTATAAGAGGTAATTACAATGGC